ATCAATTAATAGAGAGGGAGTGAGAAAAAGGCAAGAGAAAGTCTCTGGATGAGACTTTCTTCCACTATTGATCTGAGGAAGTGGGTCTGGCCCAAGAAAGCTCATCACCTAATAAACCATCTTGTTAGTCTTTAAAGTGCTACATAGTCCTGGTTTTTGGATGAGAAGGCGCAGATCCCATTTGTGGGTGCCATCAACGAGAGAGAAGGAAGGGAGGGGAGCTACAGTTCTCACTGGGGCAGCCCTGGACAAGAAGGAGGGACAGAGAGATAGAAGAACCATTGCCAAGCAGAAAAATAACCTCATTTCCTCTACCAAATTTGCATTCAAGAACCATAACATTCAGAGCTAAGATAGTGCTTTAAACATTCAAAGCACTGTGGAGACATTAGCAGATCACAGTAGGCAGAAGTAACTCATCTGACAGGTGGGCAGATTGTCAGCTTCTCAGCAGGTGTAACTCTGTGGTTCCATTGATTTCCAAGGAGACAGTTCAATTTGTGTGTGAGGGTCTGGCCCTTGGAGAGTCCATTTCTGATTAGTAAGGGACAAGCAGGAAGCAGATATTATGCTACCAAGATATGCCCAAATTGGAACTGTATTCAGCAGCTCCGAATAATGACTGATACAGCAGGAGGTGCCGGCCAGTGCAATGACAGCTCAGACACATACGCAGGTAAATTATGACTTAAATGATGAATTATGACAGCCTCCCAAGAGGAATAATGAAGGGGGGAAAGCAACAAAAACTAATCTGGAGCCATTTATGAAGAAGGATGTAAAATCACAGTTAAAAATGTAATCAGTTAGTATGCAGTTAAGGTACATGCTTGCCAGGTAACATCCTTAATTCTGAGACAGGATTGTCTGCAACAGCAGGGCTATGTCTAGACTGCAAGCCTCTTTCGAAAGAGAGCGTCTAGACTGCACGGAGAAATTTCGAAAAAGCGGCTTGCTTTTTCGAAAGAAAGCATCCAGTGAGTCTGGATGCTCTCTTTCGAAGAAGCCCTATTTACATTCAAGAACGCCTTCTTTCGAAAGAGGAACTTTCAAAAGAAGGCGTTCTTCCTCGTAAATTGAGGTTTACCGCCATCGAAAGAAAAGCCGCGTTCTTTCGAATTAATTTCGAAAGAACGCGGCTTGAGTCTGGACGCAGGGGAAGTTTTTTGGAAAAAAGGCTACTTTTTTCGAAAAAACCCCTGAGTCTGGACACAGCCCAGGAGACTAGATTTGATAATCCAGGTCTCCTCAAATCCTGGGTTTGTTAGGTTGAATGTAATATCAGCTATCCCCACAAGATGTCACAACAAGACAAGCAATGAAGTATGACTTTGCATACAAACTGAAATGATGCCATGTAACATAAGCTATGCGTATAGACTAGACAATTTACCCAGCGTTGCTCAGGTGCTTAACCCAAGTAATTTTTGCTTTAAAAAAATAAAATGAAAATGTCCGTGCTTCCTTTCAGTCATTGCTCTGGAGTTGGACTGGGGACAAGGGGTTCAGTGTGCAGTCTGCCCCAGAGAGAAAGGACTGCCCCAGCCCTCTCTCACTGCAGCAGCTTAGGGCCCGGTGAGAAGTGCCTCTCCATGGCCACTGCAGCTCCAGTTAGCACAGTGAGGGGTGGGGATGCATGGCCCCCAGCTGGGGCAGGTTCAGGCTTATCTGCCCCCTGAGCTCCCCAGAGTGAGGAATGCAGCAAACGGCACTTTCCCCTCACTCTCTGACAAAGGGGAACAGCCAGCAATTTCCCATATGAATTGGGGTGTGTGAGCAATAGGGGAGGTTCAGTCCCTCCCTCTCGAAATGGTGCCTGTGAAGTGGGAGAGTAGGGGATTAGAGAGTTCTGGATAGGAGGGTGTATCCCCATCCAGCCCCTTGCACCACCTGCCTGGTGATTCTATTTTCTATACGGTTTTATGAGAAACAATCCCATTCTAGGCTGCAGGGGAGCCTGGAAGGCCCTGCCTTGACAAATAATAATGTGTCTTGTCGAAAGTACGAATGTCTAGCAAGCAAAACGCAGGCCTGTCTCAAGTCTGGTGCACATACGCCCGCAGGCAAGGCTTGAGGGGAAAGCTTTGAGAGGCAGGAATGTTTTGCATAATCATGTAGATTAAGCATGATACAGTGAGACCATGTCAAGTACACACGATAATCAACTTTGTATTGGTACTTCTATTTCTGATAAGCAAAAATATAAGATACAGCCATAAAACTGTTAATCAAGCACATAGTTTTTGCAACTTCCCGAGTAGCAGGACGTCCCCCAAATAAGGGCATTGGGCATTTTAGGTATCTTACACAATACATAATTAATTGGTTAATATTATTAGAATGACCAAGTCTCTCTCTGCTATACAATGGGCTTAGTAAGAAGAATTGATGAGAGATAGTGAGCAGGATTGACACACAGGTCCTGCTCGTTGTTACTAGAAGTAAAAAGACCCTTCACACCGGCTATGGCAGTGCATGGCGTCCCGACAAGTTGGAGTAAAAGGGACCACGACCTCTTGCCTGGTGCTGTAGGTAGCATACAGGTGAAGTATAAGTGAACTAGACTTAATTATTGTAATATAATAAATCTATTACAGGCAGTCCCCGGGTTACGTACAAGATAGGGACTGTAGGTTTGTTCTTAAGTTGAATCTGTATGTAAGTCGGAACTGGCGTCAGCCGCTGCTGAAACTGACCGCCAGTTATGA